TCATCGCAAGTCATGCCTGACCTGACCCAATATCAAGCATAATCAAGTCATTCCAAACCTAGTATTAAAATAATTTTTAAATTTCAAATCTTTCCACTTAATTGATAGATATGAAAAATTATTTTTTTTAAATGAACTATTAAATTGTTTAGACTATTTTAATAATTATTTAAATTTACAATATTAATGAAATTTAATAATAAAATAAATGTGATATTTTAAACAAATGTTTTAATTTGAGCACTAAATGAAGTGCGTGTATATATATATATATATTCTTATCTCTTACTTTTTTTCAGTATTTCTATAACTAAATAATATAAAAATTAAAATGAATATTCCAATCTCAACTTAAAAATTCAATGGACACAAATTTCAGCTCATTCTAACCTTTTTCCAACCTTTTATTATTTTTTTAGTATTTTTGTAACTAAATAATATAAAAATTAAAATGAATATTTCAATCTCAACTTAAAAATTATATAAAAACAAAATTTCAACTTAATCCAACAGTATAAACTGAATATATTTTTTTAAACTTTAAAAATATCGAATTGGATTTGACGGACCATCGGAGGTCATGCTCACTCCTGTTAACAGGCTATTGCCAACCAATAAGGGTTGGTTTAGTTGGTAAGGCTCGTTCCCTTCGCCCATTTGGCTTAAGTTCGAGTCCCGTTGCCGACAGCCTTTTATTGGTGGGCGATATTACGTAACGCTTTTCTTGGCCCTGGAGTGGGATAGCCTCCCCTCCTCCTAAACTTTTTTTTGAATAATAAAAAAAAAAAAACAGGCTATTGGCAAAGCGATCAGTTCTTTGGCCCAGTTATATAGTACAACCGATTAAAGCAGTAACAGGTTTTGGCAAATAATCAAACACCCACATAGTTTTGCTTCTCTCCTCTTTGTCCCGTTTAGGGATTAAATATTTTAATCAAAAGGTTTAAAAATTATTATATTATTGTCTTTAATTTTTTACATATTTTGTTTTTCTAAATAAAAAATTATTAAAATAATATGTTGTCAAATAAGGTCACATCACAATTACAATCAAGCTAGGAAGTACGGTTATAGATACGGGTATGACTGAGATATGTCAAATGTTTTTTAAAAAAAATTATAATTAAACGTCCAATATAAAAATCAAAATTTAATATCATAATTAAAAAGAGAAATTACAAAATCAAAAAATAAATCATTCTTCAACATAACTAATAACAAAATAATTTGTGAACTTATATTTCTTGATGAACTCATATTCTTATAATATAACCATTAATAAAATAATTTGTGAATCTTTAGTATATAATTTTTCAAAAATATTGAATAAAACATATATGGAGTTTTTTTCATAAATCCTTTTTCTAAGAGCTTTATTCCATTCAACCAATATTCTTTTTGACTATTCCATTAGATCCTATTTGAGGTAAGAAGACCAAAATACCCTTTTCATCTACTTATGTTCCATTTAGTCCACATTATTTTCTTATGTTTCAATAAGTCCTATGGGTGACATAATTACCAAAATACCCCTAATGTGAATGTTCACACCGTCAATGTGAATGTTTCTATTTGAGGTAAGAAGACCAAAATACCCTTTGTATCTACTTATGTTCCATTTAGTCCATATTATTTTCTTACGTTTCAATAAGTCCTATGGGTGACATAATTACCAAAATACCCCTAATGTGAATGTTCACATCCTATGGGTGACATAATTATCAAAATACTCCTAATGTGAATGTTCACATCCTCAATGTGAATGTTCACACTGTCAATGTGAATGTTCACACCGTCAATGTGAATATTCCTATTTGAGGTAAGAAAACCAAAATACCCTTTTCATCTACTTATGTTCCATTTAGTTCACATTATTTTCTTATATTTCAATAAGTCCTATGGGTGACATAATTATCAAAATACCCCTAATGTGAATGTTCACATCCTATGGGTGACGTAATTACCAAAATACCCCTAATGTGAATGTTCACATCCTCAATGTGAATGTTCACACCGTCAATGTGAATGTTCTTATTTGAGGTAAGAAGACCAAAATACCCTTTTCATCTACTTATTTTTCATTTAGTCCACATTATTTTCTTATGTTTCAATAAATCCTATGGGTGACATAATTACCAAAATACCCCTAATGTGAATGTTCACATCCTATGGGTGACATAATTACTAAAATACCCCTAATGTGAATGTTCACATCGTTAATGTGAATGCTCACACTGTCAATGTAAATGTTCACACCGTCAATGTGAATGTTCATATCATCAATGTGTAGGGGCTTGGCCCAGCCCGAGTCGGGGCCAACCCATGTAAAGCCTCGTGGGTACTTGCAAAAATTCGGGCCAGGCCGACCCACGGGCCAAAAAATTAGGCCTAGGCCCTAGCCCTGGCACAAAGGTATTCAGGCTTTGGGTGCCCCGGTGGGTCGACCCAAGGGGCTTGGGCCTAGACTTGGGCTTGGGTCGGGCTTGGGTGAGCCTTGCCTTTTTTTTTTAATTCTTTTTAATTTTTTCTCCCAAAATTTTATTATTTTTCACAAAAAAGACATCGGGCCTTGGGCCGTGCCTTAAATGGGCCTTATGCGGGCCGAGCTTCAAAGTGATGGCCTAGGTCCTAGCCCAAGTTCTCGGGCTGGGCTCGGGCCCGGGCCCAAACGAGCTTGCTCCAGGCCGTGGGAGGGCTTCGGGTGGCCCACGGGCCGCGGACCAATTTTACACTCCTATCAATGTGAATATTAACATGTCAATGTGAATATTTACATTGTCAACAAGTTGAAATCGCTTCGGGCCGCAGACCAATTTTACACTCCTATCAATGTTAATGTTAACATGTCAATGTGAATATTCACATTGTAAACGGGCCGGGCCGGGCCGGGCCCACGGGCGGGTTTCGGGCTGCCTACGGGCCGCGGGTCAATTTTACACTCCTATCAACGCGAATGTTAATATGTTAATGTGAATATTCACATTGTCAACGGGCCGGGCTGGGCCTGCCCCGGGCAGGTTTCGAGCCGCCCAACGGCCGCTGGCCAATTTTACACTTCTATCAATATGAATGTTAACATGTCAATGTGAATATTCACATTGTCAACGGACCGGGCCTGCCCCGGCCCAGGGGGGAGCTTCGGACCGCCCACAGGCCACGGGCCAATTTTACATTCTTACCAATGTGAATGTTAAAATATGAATATTTATAGCTCGCCCTGCCCTGGGCAATGGGTGGGTTTCGGGCCACCCACGGGCCGCGGACGGGTTTCGGGCCGTCCACGGGCCGCGGGCCAATTTTACACTCCTATCAATGTGAATGTTAACATGTCAATATAAATATTCACATTGCAAATGGGGCGGGCCAGGCCGGGTCCGCGGGCTGGTTTTGGGCCGCCTACAGGCCGCGGGTCAATTTTACACTCCCATCAACGTGAATGTTAATGTGAATATTCACATTGTCAACGGGCTGGGCCGGGCCCACCCCGGGCAGCCCACGGGTCACGGGCGGGTTTCGGGCCGTCCACAGGTCGCGGGCCAATTTTACACTTTTATCAATGTGAATGTTAACATGTCAATGTGAATATTCACATTGTAAACGGGCCGGGCCGGGCTCGCGGGCGGGTTTCGGGCCGCCTATGGGCCGCAGGTCAATTTTGCACTCCTACCAACGTGAATGTTAATATGTTAATGTAAATATTCACATTGTCAACGGGCCGGGCTGGGCCTGCCCCGGGCAGCCCACGGGCCACGGGTGGGTTTCGGGCAGCCCACGGGACGCGGGCCAATTTTACACTTCTATCAATGTGAATGTTAACATGTAAATATAAATATTCACATTGTCAACGGACCGGGCCCGCCCCGACCGGGGGCGATCTTCGGACCGCCCACGGTCCATAGGCCAATTTTATATTCTTACTAATGTAAATGTTAAAATATGAATATTTACATCATAAAATTGCTAACCGTTCAAAAAATATTTGTATGGGTATCGAAATTAAATATAAGGGCATAAGAGTCTAAAAAAAGAGTGTAAATCAAGAAAAAGGACTTTATGGAATAAAACTATACATACATGAGATTAAATGGGTTAATAAATTTCTTCATGAACTTTTTGGATTAAAACACTTCTAAATGAGATTTATTAATAAAATCCCAAAAATATATTAACCTAATCCCATTCATAATTTATTTTTGTGAATAAAAAATAATTTGTGAATCTTTTGTGAATCTTTAATAATTTATTTTTCATGACTCCCAAGAGTAACCTAATCCTATTCATCACATTGAACTAAAGTACTAAGCACTACACAAAAAGTAAAGCACTCCGTAGCTAGGGGTGTAATTTTAGCCTGGCGCGGCCAATGTCGGGCCTTGCGGGCTCCTGTCAAAAAATTGGATCGGGCCGGATTGGGCCCATGGGACCAAAAAACTAAGCCCAGGCCCTAGCCCAGGCCTAAGGGTATTCGGGCTTTGGGTGGGCCAGTGGGCCGAGCCTCGGGCCAGGTCCATGGGCTCGGGCTTTGAGCGGATTTGGGCGGGCCTAAACATTTTTTAAAAAATTTTTTCTACCAAAATTTTATTATTTTCCATTAAAAATAACACTGGGCCTCGGGCCGGACTTTTGGGCGGGCCAATGGGCCGGGCTTCAAAATGATGGCCTAGGCCTCAGGCTGGGCTTGGGCTTGAGCCTAAACGGGCCGGGCCTACCTCGGGCCGTGGGCGGGCTTCAGGTCACCTGCGGGCCACGGGCCAAAATTACACCCCTACCCATAGCCCACATCTTCATTATTTAATTATTTTCTTGACTTTTTCCCATCTTCAAAAAAAATTATAATCAAATTGAAAAAAGAAAAAAGAGAGAACAGAGAAGCGAAAATCAGCACTGGTACCCTGAAAATTGTTGAAAGTCATGTTTTTTAACCAGGCATACCAAAGAACGTACCTATGGAATACCCACTGAGTAACTTCATCAAACTCTATATGACATACTCGGTATATGTACGGTCATATCAATAAGCATATCGGCACCCAATAAATATCCGATACTCATGACAACATTTTTACAGTACAGAGCTTCACAGCAACTAGGAAGGACAACATGAATAATGGAAATAATGGTGCATCTTTTAATAATGAAATACAAAAACACAAACTAATTGAATTGTGAACCAATTTATTAATTTTCCTAAAATGATTAACTAATTGTAGTGAGATAAGGTTGTATATTCTCTCAAACACCAAATCAAATAGGGAAAATTTCCCCACCACCGACCAAAATGAAAATAATTTTCTTTTTTTTTTTTAAAAAAAAGAGAAGAAAATCGGAGGATAAAATGAAGCAAAGAACAAGTTTCTTGAAAAAAAGCTCTTCGTAAGATCAATTTCATCTCTAGGTTCAGAGAAAAGCCATATCCAATAGAGAATATGTCTTCACACATTTTAACTGGTTATTGAACGTGTAAACTGTCGCAGACGACATTTTCACTGCCACTGTAATTCCTCCAAAATGTAATCTTATAGAATTCTGATTCTTGGACCAAAGACCAACTTCATGAAGATTTCCTTCGTTCCAGCAGATGTTGACGGTCACACCACCCCTCGCCTTCAATCCTTTTACACAACCGTTTGCCCATTTATCTCGAGGAAGAGCTGGAAGTAAATATAAGTCCTTCACAGTGCTCTGAAGAAGCATTTCAGCTATTGCTGCAGAAAAACTGACATCAACAACTATCAATCACTCACATTGTCAACTTCATAAACTACATAATATCATCGAAGCATGCGTAATGCTACATGCACATTATTAACCTTTAATTATTTTTTTGGGTGTCGGAATTTTTGTTTACGTGTTACCCACCCTACCACCTAAGCTGAAGCCCAGGGGTGCTCGTTCGACCTCAAAATAAAATTGCTTCAACCCTGCCTCTTGTTTTTTTTATTTTTATTTTAAACGGGATCTAGCATTACATATTATGAATTTAAAATATATAGCATTTGTTCAAATTTAGTAGGATACGTGTCAAGTGTCTACAAAGTGTTTGATTTTATAAATTTATATTTTTATTTAAGACACGTTGAAGAAGTATCAGACACACTTTTAGAAGTGTCGTGTTTGGCATGGCATACCATTACCATAGAAATGCCCGTACTTCTTAGCCCCATAGATGAGGTGTACACAAGGCTGATCCTGAGATTTAAGGGGGCCTAAGGCGAATTTTGGAAATGGAAGCCCCTTACATTGAAAAAAAAAAAGTTCACGGACAAAACGATAAGTTACAACTTTTTTATTTGTTTGTAGCCACAAAAAAAATTTACTTACACATATAATTATTAAAATTATAAACAAAACAATTTAATGAAAAAAAATTAGAGCAAAAAAATTAGGAAAAAATTATTCAATTAAAATTGATAAAGACCTAGGTAAAAAAATTAGGGCAAAATTATTTATTCCACTAAAATCTAATAGATAAAGAAGGTAAAAAAAAAAATAAAATTAGGGCACATATATTGTATGTATTGTTTTTCTTGGGCCCAAACACTTTTTGAATATATATATTTTCATTTTAATAAATATGGGTTAAACCATATATGGATCCAGCAAAATATTTTATAACCCTTTAAATTGATCCTAAAATCAAAAAAATAAAATAAGTTGGGCCTAGAACATTAATTTTACTACACTTGAAAGCCCTATTTTTGGGCGAGGGGGCGAAAATTTTGGGGCGAAGACACAAGCGTTACTGACCCTAGCCCAGGGTGTACCAGGCATGCCTCGTGCAAAATAGGATAAAATTCTTCAGTCAACCGTTACATTTTACCGTTCAAATTTTCTAGCAAAACACAACAAAAAGCTTAAAAAAGTCTCTCTTACAAACAACTCAAAACCTTTCTTCTATTTAAGCCTCAAAATGAAAAACAAAGTTCATTACAGCTCGCTCAAACATCCATCTCCAAACCCCTTTTCCTTTCATAGTTCAAAGAAACATGAATTCCTTCATAGTTATATAGCTCCCAAGTCTTAGTTAGTGATGACCCATAAACTCATCTTGAAATTTCTTAACTAAAAACATGAAGCATTTTGAAAGAAACTACACTCTCTTGTTATCTTCAAAACATTTTCCTGATATCTTGGCCTTGGCTGCTTAGACACATACACTACAGTCCTTAGATAATGGAATTAGGAACTATCTTATTGTAGGTCAATGTAACAAAAAAAAATGCTCAAAAACACAACCTGAAACTTTGCATTATAATATTGAACACACCCAGGCATGCTTCAAAGTCGGAAAGTGATTGTAGACATTTATATTGCTGATATAGATCAACACAAGAGTTGAAAGCTTGCTTACCCAAAATTGGCATCAATCTGGAAAGGGGGGTGTGCAGTAAACAGGTTACTGTAAAGTCCTCCTTCGAAGTCACTTTCATGGTCGGGATCCACCAAGTTAAATAAATGCTTGACCAGCCTATATGCATGCTCACTATCCAGAAGACGTGCCCACAAAGCAGTTTTCCATACAGTCGACCATCCTGGACCCTCCTCACCTGTTTCCAGACATGAAACTTAGAAGCGATACTATTCAACAATTGCTGAATATCACTATTGGCAAAATGAAGCTCGTAATTATAAAAGAAAGAAGTTAACAAAATGAAAGTAAATAAAACCACAAAATGGTTACAGTTAAAACTTCAAAGTTAGTTTTCAACTAAGAAGGATGGACGCACACAACATGGACACGCTGACACGTCAATTTTAAAAAAATGCAGAACACGACACGTGGGAGACATACGCGAAATATATAATTTTATATATTTATTATATGTTATATATATGAATATATTATTCAAATATAATAAAAAATATAATATGACACAAATTTTTATAAATTTATATCATTTTTGTTTTATTATTGTATCTTAAATTGTTTTGGTTAAACTTATAATTTATTTTATATATGTCATCCAAGTAGCCAAATAGTGTCCGGATTTTTTTAAAAAATTAAAAAATATTTTTTAAAGAGTGTTGGACACGTGTCGAGAAAATATTTAAAGACTGTTAGTGTCTGACACGAATACGACATAGATGTGTCACCTTCTTAGAAGTGTTCGTACTTCTTAAGTTTTCAAGGTTGTAGATTTTTAAATTATTGACTCAAAATGTTTTGAATAAGTTCGTCGGAACAGCCGAGCCAGAAATTTCTAAATCTTCATAAATTTTCTCAGATGCGAACCTCTTTTGTAAAGGGTAGAGTTAGCAGCTTTACAGAGGTCAGGAGTTTTTTCAACAGTAATTGTGTGCCCCGGAAACAGGCCAAATAGGTGTGATAGATGCCGATGATGCGGATCGGGATCCTCAAAATCTTGTGCCTGTGATGGAAAAGTTAAAGAAGTTTCTTATTTCTACGCCCTAGAATGGCATAACCTTCCAAGCTTCCTCGAATAACTGAAAATAAAAAAAAAACCAGGAAAACTCATAAACAAAATTCACACACCCATTCCATAATGGAACCATCCCTAGCAATTTTTGTTGGATAAAGCCGTGGTTGAGCTTTACGGACTCTGTCAACCAGATCATCATCACTTTTACCCAATGCCTGTTCACAAGCAACTTTTTATATAAAGCATCTTATTTGAAATTATAAAAAGTGCTGATAAAAACAGAAGCTTGGGAATTTTTTTTTTCTGATTAAGAATAGGAGCTTTACCTGGGCAGCAGAAACAACTGCAGAGAAAACTTCTTTGATGATTGACATGTCCATAGTTGTTGAGTAACTCACACTAGCGGGCTTACCATCAGGAGCAATAAAAGTATGTTCTGGAGAGGTTGATGGGTTGGTTTCAAGGTATCCTCCCCGTCCTTCAATCAACCAGTCCAACAGAAATGAAGCACATCCTTCCAGAAAAGGATATGCCTTGCTCTCCAGAAAACCCTAATTATGTTGAAAAGAATAGCAATAACTTCCCGACCAGAAAGTTTTTGAGTTAAATATTATGAGCGAAACTAGGTACACAATTGCAAGATCAAGAAATGTCCTTTACAAGGAAGATAAAAATGAAGATGTTTTTGAATAATATATTTGGAAAGGAGACAAAATTGCCTTCAATAAAATGTGACTTCAAAGAGAAAGGAGGAAGAAGAAGAGAATTCCAAATGTCTCCAAATATGAAACTATATGAAATAGCATGAAAATAGAAATAGAAATAGCATATCAGTAATAGAATCTTACTTTGTCCATAGTATAAGTATAATGCTCCCATAGATGAGTACAAAGCCATGCTCCACCCATTTGCCATAAAGCCCAAACTGCCTCACCTCGGTCAGGAGATGTTTTTGCCCATAAATCGGACACTTGATGCACAACCCAACCACTTGCTTCATAGTTCACCTGTAACATTCTGTGACTAATAAATAAAAACAATAGTGTTTATAAAGAATATAGAATGCGTAAATAGAAAAATTTATTATGAAAAACACCAATCAGGGTTCATCCTGGGTCTTGACCTACCCAACTAGTGTGATGTACAAATTTTATATGCATACATATTTTATACCTCCTTATTCAGTCTGTTTCAAAAAAATGAGAAAGAAAAAATACCAAGCTCCAAGTGATGACTTGCAGAAAAATGAATATACATATATACACAATACCACGAATGATCACACAAAATGAATAAAACAGTTCATAAGGACTGTTAATATTTGATAAGTGAAAGATATTTTTACTTTGGCAGTTTTACTTCCATTCACTGACAGAGACGAAATGTAATCAAACAAGGGCTCCTGGCACTCATGAAGGTTGCATGGAAGGGAGGGCCAATAGTTCATTTGAAGATTAATATTCAAGTGTTGTGCACCACTGGAGAGTTAAAAAGGAAAAGGTCACATTAGTAAATTAAATAGATGCAGATGATAAAATAAAATACAGATGCTTTTATCAACAGGAAGCCAATTATATTACATGCGAAGGTAAAATAAAATCAAGTGAAGAGTGAAAGGCAATATTGCTGCTTTTGTGGCTTAAAATTTTTATCTTACCAACTCTCTCCCATCTCTGTTACACCTTAACTTCTTAAAGGAGGGGGAAAAAAGTGAGAGAAAAAAAAGAATTTATTATCACTACTACAATAATGTATGAGGAAAATGAGTGAGAGCACTAATTAGTGCTATCACTAATGATGTGGCAGTGGGCCCCATCAGGAATGATTTGATGTTTTGGTTTTGGTGTTGTATTTTTTTTCTTTTTTTATTGAGTGCCATGTCATTAGTGGTCTTTTTAGAGCTCTAAAATTAGTGGTCTCTATCATTGTTGTAATGTATGAAGATCACACAACAAGGGAAATTAAAAATATTTCACTTTTATTAGAAGTGTGATTAAAAAATTAAAATGATATTTCGATCACAGTTAATTTAGTTGAGTGAGATAGTATTTATTTTTAAGTTTCGTTTGAAATGTGAGTTGACTTTTTAACTATTTTAAGCTGTGATTAAAAAGCGTCGTTTAGGATAGACTTTTGAATTTTTTTTAACTTTTGTGAGAAAAAAATAAAATGATTGTGATTTAAATGTAATAATTTTTAACTTAGGACTAAAAATCTTATTTTGTCTTTTTGAGACTATTTTAGATTGTGATTTAAATGTAATAATTTTTAACTTAGGACTAAAAATCTTATTTTGTCTTTTTGAGACTATTTTAATCTCAACCCACCCCAACCCAACTTTCCAAACAAGTGCTGAATGGTTGCAAGTCACATTTATATCCCACAGTTTCTAAATAAGTGTGGTTATATATATTTTTTCAATCTTGTTTTTGTGTAAAATAATTTCCAATCTCTCGGCAATTCTCTCACCCATGACACAACGTGACTCTTCCTTTCCAATTCTCTTTGCCTCAATTCATTAACAATAATAATAGAGAGTTTTAATTTTAAAACTCTAAAAAGAACTCCAATAATATGGTAAGAGAAAAAAAATAAAAACATAAACACATATCTCACATTATATGTGGGTTCCACTTCTCGCCACTAGAGCTCTTTTGAAATTTTAAAATTAGAACGCTGATACTCTGTTTTAGGCCTAGTTTGGGAAGACTAAATAAGTGCACTTTTTGACTTTTTATGAAATATGGGTTGGGTTTGGGTTGGGTTTGAAGTGATGTATTAGAGAGGTGATGTGACTTAAATAAGATGATGTGACTTAAATAGGATAGTGACTTTTTGACTTTTTGTCTTTTTTCAATCATCCCAAACTAGGCCTTATTGAAATATTTTGAAGAGATTTAAAAATAATATATATATATATAAAATAAAATAAAAAATATATATATTTTCCTCTCATTTTACCTGCCATTTCTCTTTCACTTCTTAAATTACTTCCCATATTCCCAACTAAACACAGGTCAATCTTTATTCATTCATTAAGACCATCTCCAACGGTGAACCAAACCTGGCATCAAATTTAAAATTTGGTGAAAAAGTCAAACCGTTGGAGCGCGAAGTATCAAATTAAGGAAATGACCCATTTTTGACTCAAATTTGGTGAAACATTTGGTACCGTTGGAGATGCTCTAAGCCCTACAATTATCTAATTTCATTGTTTCTCTTTCATCATTTCTCTATGATTCTCTCTCGCCCTCTCTCTGTTCTCGTCGCTCTTCCTTCCCTTTGCAAACCCTCCCTTCGTTGTTGCCATCTCTTCTCCTCTGCAAACCCTCTCTTCTTCCCTCTAAAACTCTCTCTCATAGGTACACAGGCACCAGCGAATTGAAGCCCTGCTCTCTTGGACACACTAGTTGATCGAAGCCCAACCCTTACCACTACAACACCCTTCAGATTTCAAGTTTTTATTTTTTTATTTTTTCTTGTGTTTACAAAAATTCTGTCTGATTTCTAGGTATTTCTTTTATTATGTTTACACAAACATCTTTTATATATGTAATTTTCTATCTGATAAATTTGTATCTCAGTCATCTCTCTCTTTCACTCTTTCAAGGAAAAGGTCACAACCTCCCTTTGAACTCACTGTTTGTAAACTAATTAATCATATACTTGTGAACTCAATGATCCTATATAAAGTGGGTTGATCACCAAGTGTTTGACAAAATTACCATGAATCAGTAATCTGCACTATGACAACAAACTATAGTTGTAAGACTAAGTTGAAAATCTACTGAAGTCATACACTCGGGAGAATGTATAACATGGGCAATTTTAAATTTTAGTTAATGAATAAGACCAAAAAAGCTTTGCCCAGTTCAAAAGCCTCCTATTAGATTTATTATATTTGTTTCTATTTCTCCGTTTGAATGTATGCATTTGCCCTCATTGAATTCTAGGACTTTATGTAGATGAAAGTTGGATTAATTTTTCATGTGTTACTGTTGAATGCATTGCTTCAACTTGCCAGCTTCATGTAGGGTGACTTAATTTTTTTGGAATTTTTTTCCCCTCAGCAATAAGCAAATTTGAGAATAGATTTTGTGGTTGATGGGCAGGGCACCATAAAGAGGTGTATTTCACAATCTCTCTCTCTCTCTCTCTCTCTCTCTCTCTCTCTCAGGAAGAGTGCAAAATGCATGTATTTTGATTCATTTGCTTATACTATATTTTTCTTTTCTTGCTAATTCATTTGTCTTTATTTTTCAAACTAGCCAAAAGGTGAAGAATTCATTTGTCTTTATTTTTCAAACTAGCCAAAAGATGAAGAAGTTGATGTGAAAAAGGATGAGCTGTCAAGAGCACTAATGGTATGTAATTTGCTCCTAGCGCTTTCAGTGATATTCTTTTCTTTTTGTTAATGATATCTTCTACTTGCATAGGCTTGTGGTTTGTTTTACCTATATTCCCACAATTTCTATGCACAAACTTATTAATAGAAACATTGCTGTTGCAAAAAGTGAATTTTGATTAGTTCTTGATTATATTTTCTTTTTTAGTTAAATGTCAGGGCTTTCTTTGTACGCGCTTAGAAAGTGGTTGCCTACTATAGATAAACAACAGATGCTGAACTATTAATTACGAAAATGACTTGAAAAGCATAGTTTATGTAGCCAAAGTTAAGTAGCTTGAAGCTCTGCTAAGTTGTCTTGGTGTGTGAATTTGATTTTGTACATTATTCTCAGAAATGATAATGTTGACCTTGCCTTGTTATTGTTTATTGTTTAATACTTTGTTGTTCAACTTGGATTGGAAGAGGTGTTGGATTAATAAAATAAAATAGATAATATGCATTTTGAAAACCGAACAATCCAAACAACATGTTTCAAAGTTTAATCTGTATTTGTTCATAAAATCAGATTTATGTGCTGCTTAAATGCTTTTATAAACTGGGAGCAGCAAAGAAGTCTAATTATCTTGTCATCCAAACATATGGATAGAAAAGAAAACTTTCATTTGGTAATCACTTTAAAGCTAATAATTGTTGCTTTTCTAGATTGAGTTATTTTACACTTCCCTCTATAGTGTGGCTTTCAAAAGGGCTACAATTCTTTGCTTTTTATCATGCTTCTTTGGTACACTAGAAAGTTATATTTCCTTCTTAGTTCTTAACCAACACCTATTTTTCACCTACCAGCTGGGATTTGCTTCTACACCTCTTTTTGAGCCATTTGCCATTCCATTGTTTCTGGAAAAACTTTCTTCTTCTCTGTTGTTTGCAATGGTTGGTAAAACCAAATTGTGTCTCTAGTTTTGTTCTGTAACTAGTATATTCCATCATGCTAAACTAAAATATTATCTATATCTATTTCCTCAATGACTTTCTATGCCCACAGGTTGTGTCTTTGAGATATCTTAGCTATTGCAGCGTGATGTATGGAGCCCTATATCTTTGCATAGAACTCCTTGCTGCATGCAGATATTTGGTTTTGAGCTGTGAAGAAAGTTCAGTTACTGTGTCTGCACATGAGAAATGGTGCTGCATGCTTCAGAGTTTTTGCTACTCATTAACTGAAGCCTTATGTTGTACCTTAGTAACAAGTACAGATAAAGACATTCAGAATGCTTATATTCACTCTGGAGGTATTTTGTGTGGCTCAACATATGGATGATTTTATATCTGTATTTAATTGTTAACACCTTATTTGCCATCCTGATCAACATGTTTTCAACTCTTCCACAGAATGTCATTTAGCATTCAATCAGACATCCTAAAACCCTAATCATAAGGTCAAAATGGAAAGGAAGGGGAACTTGGCAAGTAATATACATAGGATCACCCCAAACAAAACTTTTTTTTGTATCAAAACATTTCAACTTGTGTAATAGAAGTAAAATATCCAAGAAACCAACCTACTTCACCAAATGAGTGACAATGCGATAGCATAACTAGCTAGAACAAAGTCAAACAAACATAAAATAAAAAATAAAAAAACTACAATAAAGAGATCATGAAGAATAAACTACATGTCATTATGTACGGACCTGTTATATCTTTTATTATGATTGCAGCCTACAAATGTTTGGTATTTATTTATGTCTTTTTTCAATTTCCTAGTGTTGTCTTACTGAAGTTGCAATATAAAGGAAAGGGATAAAATAAAAATTTGGAGGAACTTTTTCTACAAATCCCATAACATGGAAATGGCCATCTGGGTGATTGTGCCAAGGTATTCCATTTTCATCTTGTGTCAATTCATTCATATTAGTATTACATGTGTTTTGAAACAGAAGTTGATTTTGAACTATATATGTAAATCAAAAAATTTTAGGTTTCTCAAGTTTCCCTCTTGTTAGATCTAACATGTTTATTTATTTATGAGATAAACTTTTGACACCGGCTTAGACTTAGTTCCTTGGCTTTTTAAGCTATGATCTCTTGAAGTTCAAGAAAAAAGGTTTTTTACCATTCTAATACCATGACAGTAGAATGCTTATCTTTCAAATAAAGAAGTATTTAGCAGTGCTACTAATCTTATCATTGCTCTCTATCAAGGCTAGACGCTTTCCTGCTTTTGAGTTTTCCCTCGAGAAATCAAATAGTTGTTATATGTTAAGCATGGGTATGGAAATGATGTTTATGCTGTATCATTAGTAAATACAATAGATGGAGTGATGGTTAAAATAAACCTCTTCAAGTATTTATCACTATTCACTCATTGTCAATTACTTGACCAAAGGACTACAGGTTAAGGCTTTTTCCACTTGTGTTGTCTGGTTGTATAACTGTAGTCTGAATGAGATGCTTAGATGACTAGCTAGTACTGGATGCTTATAAAATGTTTATGACCTGCTGGGAGCATGAGGCAAATTTAACATTTTTGTAGCAACCAAATTTTACTTGAAAGTGATGTTATATAGGCACACAGGGGGAATTGTGATTTTATTAACTATTTACTTCTGATTGTCTTTGTAGGGTTTTCTATTTCAACACAAGCCTGAGAATGCTGCTGCAATCATTCAAGTCCTCAATCAGGTACTTATCTATCCAGCTGATGTATTTGTGATGATGTTACCCCTGCATTGATGTCCTAAATAAGTGTACTTTTTGACTTTTTAGACTAAAAAGTTGAGGAAAAAAAAGATGGTTATTTGGAATAACTTTTTGACTTTTTACAAAAAAAATGTGTATTAAAAAATTGTATAAATTAGTGTATAGGAGAAGCTTTTTGGCGAGTAGACAGTACGGTGGGTAGTACGGTGGCAGCATTGTGCAGGGTAGTGTATAGGAGATGCTTACCTCCTTTTCGGGCATTGAATTGGACGGTGCTGTTCGGCCCGTGGGGGCCCACCATGGGTCCCGTTTTATTAATCGGAACCGTTCAATGTGTAGAATTCATCGAGTATCATTTTTTATAAAAAATCACGTTGATCGGATATCGATAGCTATCTAATTGGATTAGTTTTTTGTCAACTGTTAACTATAACACCATCTATTTTTTTTATACAAAATTGATTTGATCATGTAGTTAGCGATATCCGATCAACGTGATTTTTTACGAACATATAGTACTCGACGAGTTCTACACATTGAACGGTTCAGATTATCAAAACAGAATCCGTGATGGACCCCCACGGGCCGAATAGCACCGTCTTGTTTGTGCACTTGCCTGTTCCCTTTGTCCAACCAAAGTTAGCTAAAGTACAACTCACGTGAGAAGTGAGTTGTATTTTTTTTTTGTGTAAAATTAATTTTTTTATATTTTTTTGGGGTAAATAGTAATAACTTTTTAAGTAACTTTTTTGGTTTTTTTGAAGGATGTCAAACCAGTTAATTTCAAGTCTAGTTGATTAATTCAAACTCTGATCAATTCTATGAGACTTTTTTTTTTTTTTTTTCTTTCATTTTTTGCTTTCTTTAATTTTGAACAAATGAGTAAGTTTATTTCTATGTTTCTAGCGGCCTCTAAACTAACTTGTGTTTTCATTATTTAGTTCAGAAAGTGTTTGGAGAGATGGAAAATATAGTCAAAGAAGACAGAACATTTAAGAATTTTGAGTTCTCCTTAAGTTTTTTTTTTTAAATGAGATTTTTATTGTGTAATCACAGTAAATTTTTTTTTTTATCCCTTAACATTCAACGTTTGACTTTCATTTATGAAGTATATGAAGTTATTAGCTATCATATGTAGTCAATGTTGTGATTCAAAGGAAATTTTTGTACAAATAATATTTGATTGTATTTTAGATATTAGTTTTATTCATGTTTTAATCACGATTTATATGCTGCGATTGATAGTTACATTTTGTGGTCAAATCTTTTTTTTTTTTTATCACACGCACTAACCATGATAAGAAATGCATATAATTGTGATTTTATCTTACTATTAATCATAGATTATTTAAGTTCAATCTCAGGTTTTATTGGTTATTAATCACATTTAAAATTCGTGATCTAAATATTTATTATTATAGTCAAAACACGTGATGAAATTATTTTTTAATGACGGTTAAAAAGTGTGATCGAAAATAACTCTTAACAATCACACTCTCAAAGATTACATTTTGACAAAATAAATCCGTAATCCATTTATGATTTTGTTGTGGTGTACGCATTTGCTGTGCGTCAAGGAGAAAACTACAAGACACCATGCACAGAGAGAGAGAGAGAGAGAGAGAGAGAGCTTACTCCCATGCTGGCGCAATGTCCTTGTTCCATATTCCCTGCAAGTTTGCCACCTGAGTTCCAGGCCGTGAACAGGAAATAAGTAGATATCGACCATACTGGAACAAAAGCTCCACTAAAGAGGGATCTTCATCAGTTTGAAAAGATTTCACCCTCTCTGCAGTTGAAACCGTCTTAGCTTCATTACTTTCTAAACACAGATCAGTTGCAGAGGACAAATTTTTATTCCTATCCAAACGCCCATTTTCTCCAACATTCTTTGAGCTTTTCGAAAGCTGCAGTGAGACGCGATGAAAAAGCTTTTGATAGTCATCCAAATGCCGTGAATGAAGATCAGCATATGACAAGTTTTTAATTAAATTTAATGTGCTTAGAGACTCTGAAGTAGGATCTTTTTTTGAATCTGAAGGTTTAGTGAACGGCCCATCAAATGAAGATGAAGCCACCAGAAGCATAACAACCCAATCTGAACCCTCAATCTTCAACTTCTTGTCATCCAAAAGATATATAGTACCCACATCACTAATCTGCAAATCAAGAATTGCAGAAAACTGAATACCCTTTGGATAACCGGGGCAGCTTCCTTCCATGATAATCTGATTTTTACCATTTACACTCGAATGATGTTGTAATTTGCTGTCTATAGATACCGTAAAGGAGAGAGACCCTGATTTGCTTCCTGAAATCTTTGTCACGATCACTTGATCGGGATTTGAGGCAAAATGTTCCCTCACGAATTCAACTTCACCTACAGAATATTTCACTTTTGTAGTTGCAGTGTCCAAGTCCAGTACTCTTGAATATGTTTCTTCACTATATGAAGCATGAGAATCATCAAATTCTAGCTTGATATCACCCAGAAGCTGGTAAGCCTTCACATCATCACAGGAAAATTACAAGGTTATGAAAAATAAAAAATAAAAATCATGGAAAAATATGAAATTTCACTTGGGATCAGAAATGCTAACCCCAATATGATACTATATCAATTACAAATCAGATGTAAGCTAGCTTTATGCTGTGTTTGGTTAGAAAATTTGGGGAGGGATTTGGAAAGGGAAAGGGAAAGAGAAAAGGTGTGTGAAACTATGTGAAATTTAGACATATTTTATTCTCATTTCACCTACTATTTTCATTTCTCTTTTCAAATTTCTCCTCAAATCCCCCAACCAAATACAGCATTAATGGATACAAAAAGTTCCAACTTAACCAAATTTCATGTAATTTGCTCACTGTATCTTTTTTGAATCACCGTGGGTGTTCTAATTTTGTTTGTAGATGCTCGTTGAAAATTTCCCCATGTACAATGGTGCAAATTCACAACTATATGAGCTTTTCAATGAGATTGTTTAAGTGAAAAATTGAAACAGAACATAATCAGTTTGCATAAAAGATCCAATCATCCAATTATTTAAGTTTAACCACAGAACTAGCAGTGAAAGCTGACAAACAAGATTTGAATTCGTTCCTATTTTTTTAGGCTGGGTTTGTATCATGGATTAGGGTAGTAATTTGAAAATCCATGATCCAAACAATGTTAAATGTGTTGCTAGTTATATGTTTCAATGCCTCCAATCAGAACTTTTAATTTGGATTGAAGTGCTTCGATATTTAGTTATGGACAGATGTTACAATAACAGCACATTTTTGTATATAATATCCACGTGGTTCAATTGATGATCCGAAAGTTGTCACAATAAAAGGTAATAAAGTAGCATACAGCTGAAGGATTGTCTAACAACTTGACCGCTTCAGTAGTAGCTTCGGAATACTGGCCATCATCAACGAGCTTCCTGACCACCGACAGTGACTTTGGTGCATCTGGGTTTGTGTAGTTTCCAGGAATCCCAGTCCAAAGTGTGTCCTCTGCCAAACGAATCCAAGTAATCTGCTGTCAGTTTTACTTTCATATTGAGAGAGAGAGAGAGAGAGAGAGATAAGTAAGGCTTTTTAACATATTTATCTTTATTAATTATTTTAGTCCATATAGTCATTCCCAAACAAACCCAAGAGAGAGAACAAACTTCAAATCTTGAAAAAAAAAACAATAATAATAGTATATCAAACAAAACTCAAAAGCACTGTTATCTCTTCCCTTTCTAACCTTTTTCTAGGCAAACAAACAACAGCAGAGCAAGTTGGGATACACAGCTAGTTACTTTTACCATTGAGATTAAGAGTCTCGGATTGAACACCGCCCCAAACCATAGCACCGAGTCGACCATTTCCAATGGGGAGAGCATCAGTCCAGTGCTTGGCAGGCCCACCAAACCTAACTTCCAGAGGCCTCGAAGCCTCCTCTTCAAGCAAGCTCGGTTCCCACAAGTCCTTCATTCCAGGTCTGCCCACCATAAGCCAATCATCATCTGCCATTACTGGACCCAAAAACAGAAAAGAGTGAAGAGAATGGGGAAGAGAGTGAGATCAAGGAGGTAGAAGAATGGAGGAGGGAAGGGGTAGGGTAGGGTTGGGTAGGTGGGTGGGAGATGAAGAGATGACAGCGAAGAAGTGGCCACTGCCATCTATGGCTATAAATTCATGGAGAGGTGAGGTGAGGGAGGCATAGGCATGGGCATGGCACAGCAGCAATCAAAAGAGGAGGACCCCACGTTTCACGTTTGGGTGTCTTTTTGCCTTTTATTTTATTTATATTTTTTTATTTTTTTGAAAATCGAAACTTTCCCATGCGGTCATCTTTTTTAAGCCAGTTTCGTTTCATCACAAATACGTTTCCCAAACTTTTCAGTGTTTAATCACTTGTTTTTCGGGTCAATATTTTGATGGTTTTTCGGCCCAAAAGTTCAAATTTAAGTCCATTTTGAAAAGGAAAAAATTTATTATTTTTAAATTTTTTTTTTAATCTTTAATGATTTTTTTTTTTTTAAATTATGTCTAACTTTTTCAATTTTTTTGTCTGACTTATCGAGACGAATCTAAAAAGTATTTTTTTTGGATTTTTTTTAAAAAAATTACCAAAAACAAAAATAAACAAAAAAATATTGCTCATTTTTATCTTTTCTAGATTTCTTTTGGACTTTTTTTTTAAAACTTATAATTTTTCGATTTATTTTGTCGAGCTGAATCTAAAAACCTAAAGGTCTTTGAAAATTAAAAAAAAAAATCACTAAAGATAAAAATAAACCAAAAAAAAATCTTAAAAAAACCATTCTCAAAACATGTCTTAAATTTTCTTTATTCAAATGTCCAAGTGCAAAAATATTTTGTACATAAAGACAATATTCTATAAAATAATTGGATTGCTCTCATTCGTTAGAGCTGTGATTGGGAGCCCGAATGTGGGAGCCCCGAATGCCCCTAATATACAAAACGTCGTCGTTTTTGTATTTTTTTGTATTTTTTTTTTCAGCAGAAGAAGGAAGAAGACGAAGAAGAGAAGGAGGGGGAGGGGAGGGGAGGAAGAGAAGGAGGGGGGGGAGGGGGCCATCAAACTCTGGGCTGAGGCAGGGGGCGGAGGCGGGAGCGGCGAGGCAGAGGCGGAGCTGCGACGGCGGGGCTGCTGCGACGAGCTGAAGCTGCTGCGACGGTGGGCGACGATCGGGCGACTGCGACGACGGGCGGCGAGGCGACGAGCTGCGGTCCTCTCTTCTCTCTCTTTCTCTTTCTCTCCCTCTCCCTCTCCCTTTCCCTCAGCCTCACCCTCACCTGTTTTAGACTGAAGGAAGAAAAAAAAAAAATTGAATTGGTGAAACGACGTCGTTTCAGCAATTCGGGGCATTCGGGGGAGCCTCATTCGGGGCACAAATTTTTTCCCCATTCGTTAATCCTGTCCGTTGAATGACTCTTATGGAACACACAATTACGCTGTGAGAGTCATATAGCAAACACTCACTCTCACTCTCTCTCTCTCTCTCTCTCTCTCTACCTTTTCTCTTTCCTCTTTCTTTCTCTATGTTTGTTTTCAGTTTTTTAAGAACACTTTTCAAAAATTTTTATTTTCTTATTTTTAATATTTTTATTGAATTTTTTAATATTTTAAGAAATTTTATTAATTTTTAAACACACTTAACATAAATACAAAAAAAATCTTTAAAAAATTCACTAAATACCAAAAATACAAAAAAAAATTGAAAATTTAATATATATTTTTATATTTTTATGTATTTTCATTTTTTTATGTATTTATTAATTTTTTAAAATATTTTACTTTTTAGATGCATCTAAATAAGGTGCATATAAAAAAAAATAAAAAAATACTAAAAATTTTAAAAATATTCACTAAAGATAAAAAAAAATGCAAAAAATAAAAAATTCAATTTTTAAAAAGCTGAATTTAAAAAACTAAAACCAAACGGCTCACATCTCTCTCTTTCTTCATCGATTAGGGTTTTTATCTCATTGTACCTCTGTTGTCTCATCCTTCGGTCTATGGCGGCGATCAGTGTTTCATCCTTACCATGGAGAGAGAGAGAGAGAGACACGATTTGGTTCGTTAACAAGATTCGTCTTTTCTCTGAATGTCAAGACAATCTCGTCGCACCTCCGCCGCCTCCTGCACCCTAAATGTGGTTCGCCAACAAGATCTTCCATATTAGACTTAAACAAGATTATCACATATGATTTGTCTCTAGATTTGGTTTGTTGACAACGACGAGCATCGCCATCGGCGCCGCCGCTTTCCCCGTCATGTAGTTCAGAAGCCTTTTGAAGTTGTTGTTGCATTAAATCGAATTCTTGGCAAAGCAGTCGATCGATCTCTCTTGGCCATCGGATCATAAAGGTCCAGGAATGGTAGTTCTAGTATGGACTCAGGCTTTAGGTGCTCCATCACTACCACCACCAACACTGTCATTCGCCGATCACAACACGATCTCACTGTCATCTTCATTGTCAGCACCATCTAATGATAATTTTCGTGTATTTGCTTTTGAAATGATAATTAATTTGTGTTTGATTTTTGAATTTATAGAAGTAAAAGCAAGAGCAATTTTGGTTCTCTTGCTTAGATACTAGTTTGATGAAACAGTTCTGATATAGAGCACTAAAATAACAGCTCTAAAAAGAGCTCTAAATAGGTGGCATCCAATGTTTGAAACTGAAGCCCATTTACATCTACAGTGCGTGTACTTCACGCACTGTGTAAAAAAAAAAAAAAATATCGCTCAAATGTAGACTTGAGCTCATGTATATAAAAGAAAAAAAAAAAGAAATTCCCGCACATTTGCATATAGATCTGAGCTTCTCTTCTACTGTCCCTCTTCTCTACTATCCGGTGTTTGCCCTCTCCTCTGTCGTCTATCTTCTCCACCGTCCGGCGTTTGCTGTATCCTTCGGCATTTACAGATCTATCCTTCACCGTTCGTCTCCTCCACCATCTGATGTCTTTTCCCTTCTCCACCATTCCGCATCTTTGTCGAACTTGGACTTCCATGTTCCTTCTGGTCAGGTTTTGTCTCTATCACATAGCAAGATAGATATGAAAGAAAAAGAAAAAGAAAAAAAACAGTTCATGAAACCAATTAGAAGTTTATACTTTTGGTGAGACATTTGAGTTCAAAAATCCCCTTTAGAAGTTTATACTTTAGGTCCAAACATTGGCCACACATTCTGTTTATGTACATTTAGGACTGGGGTTAATGTATGTTTATATTTCAATTTTGGTTTCTTGTGAAATTTGTTGTATATATTAGTTCGACACACATTCTGTTCATGTGTGTTCCCCCCCTTAAAAAAAATAAAATATGAGTAATCCATACAAGTTTAATCACCATGATAAAGAAGTAATCTTTCGGTCCCTTATTCAACACCCTCCACATCTCAATCAAAGTTTAATCTATTATTAATCTGTTATTAAAACACAATAATCTGTTATTAATTTTTGAAAATAATCTGTTATGATAATAATCTGTCATTAATTTTTGAATAATCTATTATGATAATACTATGTTATTAATTTATGAATAATCTATTATTATAATAATCTGCTATTAATTTTTGAATAATCTATTATTATAATAATCTGCTATTAATTTTTGAATAATCTGTTATTAATAGATTAATAACAACCTCAATAATAATTTTGAACAAATTAATAACAGATTATTGTATTAGTCTATTAATCTATTAAATCATTTGATTTCAGTTTAATTTTTGAATGAGCAGAAATGGAGATTGATTCAAATAATGGTGAGAATCCTTTATTAAATGAGAGTGAGGAAGTTGAGGAACCTAAGACGGGAATGTGTTTTAGCTCAAAACAAGAAGCGTACACATTTTATGCCAAATATGCTAAACATGTTGGATTTTTTATAGCTTAAAGAACACAAGTTATTGGCGATGATGGGGAATTAAGATACTTTGGGATTGAATGTTCTTGATCGGGGAAGAGAATAAAAAAAATTGAAGTAAACCCTCTAAAGCCATCTCTATCCACAAAAATTGGTTGCAGAGCAAGGGTACGAGTGACCCTACAAAAGGATGGAAGATTTATGTTAACCACAGTTAACCTTGAGCATAATCATGACTTGATTCCCACCGACTCACATCATTTTGCAATGAATAAGAAAATTCTTACACTTGTGAAGAAAAGATTAGAAATTAATGACCAAGCCGAGATTGGGGTGTTTAGGAGTAATAACTCAATGGTTGTTGAAGCTGGAGGTTATGAGTCATTAACATTTGATGAGCGAGATGCAATGAATTATATTAACAAAGCTAGAAAATTGAGGCTTGGAGAAAGAGATTCCGATGCACTTCAAAAATATTTGTTGAGGATGCACGCACAAAATTCGAATTTCTATTATATGATTGATGTTGATATTGACTTTCGATGAGTCAGGCAGCTTATGAAGAATTTGGAGATGTTGTTTCATTTGACACAACTTATCTCACTAACAAATATGATATGCCATTTGCTCCGTTTGTAGGAATTAACCACCATGGACAGTCGATTTTGCTTAGTTATGGGTTGTTATCTAGTGAAGACACTGATACATTTGTTTGGTTATTCAAACCATGGTTAAATTGCATGTTAGATCATCCCTCAAAAGCTATAATAACTGATCAATGCAAAACTATGCAAAATACTATAGAAATTGTCTTTCCAAATACTCGACATCAATGGTGTTTATGGCATATAATAAAGAAAATTCTGAAGAAATTGAAAGGCTATTCCCAATATGAATCCATGAAGTTGGCTTTGCAAAATGTAGTGTATGACACATTCACAAAAGATGAATTAGAGATGAGATGGAAAGAGATGATTGCAGAATTTAATCTTTATGAGAATCAGTGGTTAGGGATATTATATGATGAGTGACATCGATGGGTTCCTGTTTATGTGAAAGACATTTTTGGGGCTGGCATGTCAACCACACAACGAAGTGAGAGCATGAATGCCTTTTTTGATGGATATGTCAATGCAAAGACTACATTAAAGCAATTTGTTAAACAATATGAAAATGCCTTGAGAAGTAAGGTAGAGAAAGAGAAGAAAGCTGACTTCAAGTCTCGACACAAAGTATTTGATTGCCTAACTGTGTATCGTTTTGAGAAGCAATTTCAGGATGCCTACACCAATACAAAATTCAAAGAAGTTCAAGCTGAGATGAAAAAACTAATATATTGTCAGTTGTGTCTTGTGAAAAAAGGAGTGTTCAATTTGCACATATTTAGTGAAGGAAGCTGTGGTAGTTTTTGAAAAGATGAAGCTTGTGGACTTTATTGTGTATTATAATTCGACTGAATTTGATGTTCAATGTATGTGTCTGTTGTTTCA